TTACTTAGCTTTTCTTCTTCTTCTTCTTATTTGGCGCTGTAACCGCCTAAGCGATTTTGGCCGAGTCCAAAACAGCACGCCAGTCATATCTCTTCTGTGCTAACTGACGCCAATTGAAAATGCCAAGTGAAGCCAAGTCCTTCTCCACCTGGTCTTTCCAACGCAGAGGAGGCCTTCCTCTTCCTCTGTTCCCAGCATCGCGGCCCGCGTTGAATATTTTCAGAGCAGGAGCGTTTCTGTCCATCTGAACGACATGGCCAAGCCAGCGGAGCCGCTGAATTTTAATTCGCTGCACTATGTCTATATCGTTGTAAAGCTCATACAGCTCATCGTTAAATCGTCTGCGATATTCGCCATCACCAACGCGTAAAGGTCCGTAAATCTTTCGCAGAATCTTTCTCTCGAAAACTCCAAGAGCCGCCTCATCAGATGCTTTCATTGTCCATGCTTCCGCGCCATACACCAGCACAGGCATGATGAGTGACTTATAGAGTGTGATCTTTGTACGACGAGAGAGGACTTTACTTCTCAATTGCCTACTCAGCCCAAAGTAGCACTTGTTGGCAAGAGTGATTCTCCGTTGGATTTCAAGGCTGACATTATTATTGGTGTTAATGCTGGTTCCCAAATAAACGAAGTCGTCTACTTTTTCAAACTTGTAACTGTCAACAGTGACGTGGGTGCCAAGACGCGTATGCTCTGACTGTTTGTGTGCTGACAGGAGATACTTCGTTTTGTCCTCGTTCACCACCAGACCCATTCGCTTTGCTTCTCTATCCAATCCCGAGAAGGCAGAACAGACGTAGCCCTTGTTTTTACCGATAATATCGATGTCGTCGGCATACGCCAGCAATTGTACGCTCTTATAAAGTATTGTGCCTGAGCGGTTCAGTTCTGCGGCTCTTATTATCTTCTCCAACATAAGATTAAAGAAATCACACGAAAGGGTGTCCCCTTGTCTGAAACCTCGTTTGGTATCAAACGGCTCGGAGAGGTCCTTCCCTATTCTGACGGAGCTGGTGGTATTGCTCAACGTCATTTTACACAGCCGTATTAGTTTCGCGGGGATACCAAATTCAGACATCGCGGCATAAAACTTCTCTTCGTGCTGTCGAAAGCGGCTTTGAAATCGACAAATAGATGGTGTGTGTCGATCCTATTCTCGCGGGTCTTTTCCAAGATTTGGCGTATTGTGAATACCTGATCTATGGTGGATTTTCCAGGCCTAAAACCACACTGATAAGGTCCAATCAGCTCGTTGACGGTGGGCTTCAGTCTTTCGCACAATACGCTCGATAAGACCTTGTAACCTATGCTTAGAAGGCTAATTCCGCGGTAGTTGGCGCGTATGGCGGGGTCGCCTTTCTTGTGGATTGGGCAGAGCACACTTAAATTCCAGTCGTCGGGCATGCGTTCATCTGACCATATTCTGCATACGAGCTGATGCATGCACCTCATCATCTCCTCGCCGCCGTACTTGAATAGCTCGGCTGGCAGGCCGTCAGCTCCAGCAGCTTTGTTGTTTTTCAGCCGCGTAATCGCTATTCGTACCTTAGCATTTACACAATTTTAATGAAATATTAAAATATGAGTGGTAAAAGAAAGAGTTTTAAGAAAACTTTAGTTTGAAAATAGTTTTTGTTAGGGTTGCCATCTATTCGATTTTTATTTTGAGCGATAAAGTTCGGTAATTGTGTTATCAGCTGTCTCGATGAAGTCAATTGGCCCCCTGGGAGCGGCGATTTAACGCCCTTAGACTTTTTGTGCCATGCCGTGAAGGACCGATATAATGCGAACAATCTATTACGCTTTAAGGCGTATGTCGGGCATTTCTTACAATAGAGCCAGTAACCATCAACAAGGTCTTGGAGAACTGGGTTAACAGGATACGCTACTGCGAAGACAGTCACATGATGAAATTTGGTTCCATAACTAATGGGAATATATGTTCTTTCGAATAAACCCATAATATAACGAAAAAATTAGTTTGATTTAAGTTTTATAAATAAATAATTTTTTTTGTAATGGTCATCAGATCTTTAACTCATTTACGCTCTCTGTACTATATAAACGACACCAATTAAGCCCACGTCTAAAAGTTTACTATTATTACTAGAACGAAATTGCTTTAATAAGTTTGCACATACTGGTATTAATTTCACTTCAGATAGAATAAACGATAAATAGGTACGAGTATAACTGGGGATACCGGATTTGGACACTTACAAATCGACTTTTCACATTAGAAGTGGTCCACATGAAAAGCTGCGAGTTTTTCTTAAATTATTGCACTTTGCCTTAAAATATCCGCTATTATAAAGAGTAAAAAAAGTAAATTAATCAAATTACTAACAGTGGGTATAAGGGTTTGTTATTTGATGGATTTATACAGCTATTCCGTTAGCTGTCGTTTTTTTAGTACAACGGGCACATCTATACTAATATATGTATACAATTTTTTGAAAGCCGGTTTTTCTGTTCGAAAAGCTTGAGAACAGCCGTACCGATTTTTCGAAGTTTTGGACACCTATTTCCGACTTTCCAAGCATGGTTATAGACTAAAAATAATTTGGATATGTCATCGGGGCGTGGCAGCTCCCATACAAACTGAATTTTTCATACTGCATACGAAGAGGAGTTTGCTGTAGAATACTAGAACTTGGTATGGAGATAGTATATGAAATCAATCCTATACTCAGTAGAAAAGTGGCGGTTATTGGAAAAGGGGGCGGGGTCCTCCTTTACATACTGAAACTTATATAATGCATATTTCTCTTATTTATAGATCATACAAGTGGAACTATCGTACAGAATATCTCTAGAGGTATTTAAGGATACGGAAATTATTTATGGAGATTTATGTTAGTAATACTTTACTGTAAGAAAAAAAAGTGAGAAGTGAGTAGTTGAAAATAGTCTTGCAATTACGTAAAATTATAAAATGTTCAAAATCTGGCCTCTGTGTGACATGATGATTCAGAGTTTTTGTCTAAAACGTCAGGTAGTTTCTCAATTAATTTTCTAGAGCTATATATATATTTATTTCTTAACGAAATTTCGATTATATTTTGCTACTAAAACTGGGCGATAGCAAGTTCTGAAGGTTATTACTAAGTCTTTGACATATATTGTGGAAAAATCATTGGTGGTGGGTTATGAATCTCCACGTACATGCTTGATATGAGTATATCTAACCGGTGGATTCGATCGACATGTTTTGTTGTTAGAGGACACATTGTTCGAAAAAGCCACCCATCCGGTTCTATTGTAGCAGATCCAAACCCAAAGCATAGCGGACATAACCCAGGCAAGTTGCCCAAGCAGCAAAACTGAGTTTTGTGTCATGAGATTATACAATGACAATGTACAGGATGCAAAAAAACGTTATGCTTTGTCAAATAATGTTTTAAAAATTAACACGCATAAATGCCCGCTGTACTAAAAAAAGTACACTCCCAAAAGATAACTTTTAAACTGTTTTCGTTGATGTTAATTCCTAAGTTTGTTTAAAATGGCTTTTATAGTCACATAAATAAAATTAGATATAATAAAAGTTTAACCGTTTTTGTTTGGGCGTAAATGGGTAAATGTGAAGGTCATCAGATCAGCACCGTCATTCTAAATGTGCATTAAGGTTTTATTTCTTAAAGTTAGGACCTTTTTTAGCGGTGCACGGTGGTTTGAATTTTGAGGAAATGAAAAACCGACGCCATGTGAGACCTCTCTTCGTTCAAAAAGGGATGGACGAATTTACTTGAAACATTTTCAATATTTATTAAGGTTTATGAATAGTGTTGCCATCTGTATAAAATGTTAAGCTCAATTTTGGCGTCTTAACGCCATGCGTGTTCACTAGTTATTTCGTATTTATCCATCGATTTTCTTCATCAGTAACTTGATTTTTTATTTATAACAGAACAGGCTTTAGTACAAATGCAAAAATTTGGCACAGAACTGTTTTTTTTTTTTTAATTTTCCTTCTGTTAAAGTTTGATTTTTTAATTTTTCAATAAAAAAATAAAAAAAGCTGGAATGATTAATAAATTTGTCAGAAACTATCCTCCCAATTCTGTGTTTTCTTGATAAATTTTTTGTAAAGAAATTTTATCAAGATTTTTATCAAGTAAAAGCTTCCTTCGCATTCTGTGTCAATATTTATAAAACAAAAAGCTCTACGATTTCCACATTAGTCGAACTGATTTCCACATGAGTGGAACTAATTTCATTGTCACATATGAAAAATATGAATTTAAAAGCAAAAAAGCCCTTGACCGCCTTAGCCGAGTAGGTACTATAATTCCGTGTGTCGCACGTTCAAATGCCGGCACATGGAGTATTTAATTGTTAGAAACAAATTTATTAATATACAAAATTTATACATTTCACATGAAATCTCAATTTGTCAATAGCATTTTCAATCTTGATAATTTATCAAGAAAAGAGGTTTTGATTTCTGTGCTAGAATACCAATTATTTATAAATAATAAAAACTTGACAAATTATAAAGATTTTCAATTTATCAAGTGCACAGAATCGGGCTGTATAAGCCCTATCGGAATAAGATGTATATACGGTTTATGGAGAACTTCATTGGCCGTATTTTCTATTAAGATTTTTAAATTGGTTCGTAACATATACGTGATTAAGAGGAACCAATTTTTGCTTTAAGCTGAATAACGGTAAATTGCAAATATCTCGAAAACGTATCCATAGAAAAAAAAATTAACCCGAATTTCGGAATCACCGAGCAATTCTACATAGTAATTGGATAGCGGCGTCTGGAGAACAAAAACCAAATTAAAATTTGTGATCCAGTGTTATTAAGGTATCACGTTCGGTGTGAATTTCTACCAACGTGTCATCATTTGGGCAGTCGCAACAGTGTTGCAAATTTTCATCGGTGAAACAGTAATGCCGCATTTATTACGTGCCTCGAACAGGCCCATATATAGATATTTTTGTAAAAACATTCATTACATATGTACATATGTATGTTGTCAAACCAACTTAAACATATGATTTTTTGTGCAGTGTGTTTACCGCTAGAACTGTATTTTATTCCTTTTTTGTTAGATGTTGGAGTTCTTGAATCACGTCACCATCGTCCAAATTCCATTAATTTACGTAAGGTCTGTAATTCCGAGCAAGCCGCTGGAAATTGTGGCGACCCTCTAACACAATCTTGTACAACAATTACTTCCGCCGTTGCCAACGCTATTGGTATTCATTCGCCTTCTATTGGGAAAACTGAAAATGGAATTTTGGCAATACATTCCATGCAATGCATTGAGCAAGCGCAATTGCAAGATTTATATGATGACGAAACATTTAACGAAAATCAGCGATCTTATGAACAATTTGGTTCTGAAGGCATTTGTGCACAGGGCATGCTTTCGCGTACGAAAATTCGCCCCTCCCAACCACCCCCGGATCCACCATCTAATGGAAGCAGACACGTTACTCCTGTGTCTTCTAATGCGAATACTCCAACGCGTACGCGAAATGGGGTAAACAATCGCGATATATTACCTCCACCGCCACCTATACCCGAAGCGTTAATGAATACATCCTCACCACCACGATCAATTTCTGTAATAAATGGAAACACTTCACTGGGTAAGCCTTTGAAATCAGGTTTTAATTTAATTCAAAATCTAAATATTGTATTACGTCTAGGCAAAAATATTCCTAATATAAATTTGATTAACATACCCGAGCAACCTAATTGGCATGATCTACCGCCTTCAGCACAACCAGAACATCAGGTTAGTATGCTTACCAACGAATAAATTATCACATGTGAATGGATAACAAATACAGTCAATCAACAAAGTTTAGGTACAGGGATTTTTTTAATACGGGCAACTGTTTTTTTTTTAATATTTTATTTTTTCGCGAATTTTTTATAAAAATATGGTCAGATAGATAAATATTAGTTGAGGTATACACTGCGACCAGGTGATCTATTGTGCCCTCTTCCTCCTTACAACACCTCGCTCAGTCTTCTTCGGTGACATCGAGCTGCGGGCATAGTGACCCGAGGTATTTCTCCCGTCTTCTCGCCACGGCGTCGCATTCGAGAAGTATATGCTCAGAAGTCTCAGCTGCGTTATCACAGAATAGGCATAAATTGTTGGACCAGATCCCGAGTTTATGTAGGTGACTTCTTAATCTGTTAAGATACCTCTTAGAATCTTAGTTTATACTTTGGGAGATGAATAAGTTTATCATATCTTTCCCTATTGTAACCTCCCTGTCGCAGCCCAGGGTCTCCTAAGCTCGTCTCTGATGGTTTGCGGTCCTATCGCAAAGAAGGGCTCGGGGCCTATTGGTGTTTTTGCCGCCGCCTTCCTGGCATGCATGTCTGCCTCCTCATTACCTTGTTGGCTGCCGCTAAGGCGTAAAGCCTCTCGACGCACTCAAGAACCATTGCTGACTTGATTTCATTAGAGATAAGGGCTCTGGGTGAGGCCTGACTGTCGCTAAATATTAATATATTTTCATAACGGTACTTTCGCTGAAGGTTGATCTCTGCACACAGACTAATGGCGTAAACCTCCGCCTGGAATATGCTAGGCAGTTTGCCCATGGGAACTGAGACCCTTGTTCTTGGCCCAAGGATTCCATGTCCAATGTCCTCGGGTGTTTTTGAGCCGTCTGTGTACCGAATAAGGGGGCGCAGATGGGAGTATTTACTTAAGTTTATGTCATTCCAGCTTGCCTTATTCTCTAATTCTACTTTGAATTTTCTTTGGAAACTAATAATTCTGCAGATGTCATCTCGTGGGAGTTGAGTCAGGGGCAGTTGGGTCTTGAGAGATTCCATATTTCGAGATGATACCACTTTTCCTCTTCCAAAAACCTCCCTGGTGAAATTCATTAGGGATCGTTTGGCTGTCTTTTGTATACTAATGCGCAGTGGCGTGAGCTCGAGAATAACCTCCAGTGCTGCTGTTGGACAGGTACACATTGCGCCCGTGATGCACACACACGCAAGTCGTTGTAATTTTGTGAGGGAGCGAATAGCAGTCGCTTGGTTGGCTCTCGAGCCCCAGGCCACCTCCCCATACGTTATCATTGGCTTGACTATCATGGTATACATCCACCTGAGAATCCGAAGGCTACAGCCCCAAAATTTTCCTGCCAGGCGTTTGCATACCATTAGCGCTTTTGTTGCTCTGGATGTCGTCACATCGACGTGTTCCTTCCATGAGAGTTTAGCGTCGAGCGTGATGCCTAATTATCTCACTTCCGAGACGACGCCGACTTCCGTGCCATCAAGAGCTATAGTTCTCATTCCCGGTAGGGTTCTTCCTCTTGTGAACGGGATAATCGGAATTTCGTTGGGTTAATTTAAAGACCATTATCCACATACCATTTCTTTGTTATTCTTAGGGCCCTCTGGACTATGTCACAAAGGGTGTTCTCGAACTTTCCTCTTGCTATTATGACGATGTGATCCGCATAGCCTTAGCATCGGATTCCATTATATGATATCACTAGCAACCCGCCCCGGCTTCGCACGGAAATAAAATATAAGGCCTATGTCACTCACTGAAAAAATGATTAAAATCGATCCCGTAGTTTTGATTTATTCATTACTGCCCGTGGCCCGCACGCGTTACATTTGGAGTGAAACAATTCCCCTTTCTTTATACCATGAAGATTTCCTGCTATCTTTGGAATATCTAACGCGCGCTCCGAATCAATAAAAACTATTCAAAAACTGTATTTTAATTATGTGCGATTTATTAATATAGAACGTTAACAGAGCGGTTTATTTCGCTGAAAAAACCCTCACAACTAAAAATTTTTCAAATTTGGGTTTTCTGTATAAAAACCCTCAATTCAATGGAATTCAGTACGGCAATAAAGACATGAATTGAAAATACATACATACATACATACATACGTCCGAAATTTAATTATGCGAGAGATTCGTACTTATGTACTTGCATACATACGTACCGAGTTCTTTCACCATACGATCTAATTCAACATGAATGAGGTGGGGTGAGATTCCCGCATAACTTCTAATGTTTCATTCGGTTGACAGCGAACAAACACACAAACAGCTTTTTTTGGAAAAAGTGCTGCTTTTGTTTAAACAATTTTGGTTAAATAAGATATGAATCAACTATTTTTTTTGATGCAGAACGAAAGTAAATATTTCAAAGTTTAACTTCAAGTAAGTTTCATTTTAATCGGTGGATTCTTTTATGATTTATGGCTGTGTAAACAAAAAGTTTATGGGTTTTTACCACATTTTGTCCGATTGCCACGCCCCCTTTATATATTTCTTCACATTATAATGACATAAACCTTCCTCTTCAACCAATCTATCTATTAAAAAAAACCGCATCAAAATCCGTTGCTTAGTTTTCAAGATTTAAGCATTTAAGGGGACATAGGGACAGAAAAAGTGACTTTGTTTTATAATATGTAGTGATTTGCAAGAGTTCATCGACTACTAGGCTCCAAAGGAGGGGTGATAAGACGCCCCCTTGTGGACACCCCTTCGTGGTTTTTATTTGCACAGACTCATTCCCTATTGTGGTCGCTTTTATCCACCTGCGAATAGGTACTTGTACTCCTCTTTCTCTAGTGCGTGCCCTACCGCCTCATGCGAGGTGTTGTCGAAGGCTCCTTCTATGTCATGGAAGGCACAGAGAACGATCTCCCCAGATTCAAACGCACTTTGGATTTCTGTAGTTAGCTGATACAGGGTTGTTTCCGTAGATCGTTCTGCTCTATACGCGTGTTGGCTACTGTGGACCGGACTAACTTCCAGAGTGTTTGATCGGATTCATTGTCAATAATTTTCTCCATCGTCTTTAGTACAAAAGAGGTTAAACTTATTGGTCTGAAAGATTTAGCTGAGGAGTAGTCTTTTTTGCCCATCTTGGGTATAAATGTTACCCGAGCTCTTCTCCACACTATTGGAATGTAGGCTTGGGCTAGGCTATTCTTCACTAATTCTACTAGATGTGGGGTAACTAGATCTTCTCTCTCTCTTGCTGTAAAGCCGGATAGATCCCGTCCTTCCCGGGGACATGTATCGGTCAAATGAGCCAAACGGCCATTTGACTTTGGCTCGCGAGAATATGCCTCTCGCAGTGCCCCAATCAACTGGGGTTGGTCTAAATGTTCGATCAGTTCCCTCCGTAGTCAGGTAGAGCACGTGCTCGTTCAACTTCGCTGCCGGTGTAAGTGCCGTCCGGCAGCTTGATTGCTAGTTGGGTCTCTATCCTGTCTTTTGCTAGGTCCTTACGCAGTCTTGCCGCTACAGAAGTGGATGTAATGTTCTCGCAAATGCTTCTGAAGCTTTCCCTCTTCGCTTTCCTTATCTCTTTATTATATGAAGTTAGGCTGGTTGGTTGAAGTGGCGAGTTTAACAACTCCAATTAGAACTTATGCGTGCCGTTTTAAAACCACTACTCGCAATTTAAACCTGAAAAGAAAGCCCGAAAAGAAAGCAGCAGAAGTCGGTTATATATCTCAAACCCAGCCTGTGGAGTTCACGAACTTAAGAAGTTGCAGTGGGTTAATATCACTTATGTCTGTTAAACCGCAGAAGCAGGGTTTGCCTAGAAGCCTGATTCTAGTCCTACGTAGTGCTGGGCAATCGCAGAGCAGATGCTCCACCGTTTCTTCTGCATCTGGTGAATTACAACTACGACAAGATATGTTGTGTTCCAGTCCTAGTCTTGCAGCATGGATTCCCACGGCCCAGTGGCCTGTGTAAACGGCAGTTAGTCGGGATAGATCCCTCCTGTTTAGTTTGATAAGAAAAGCAGTGCGTTTTGCCCAGTAGGTGGGCCACAGACTCCTGCAGACTCTGCAGGATTGTAGATTTTTCCACCCACTGTTAGCCACATTTTTCCAGTGCTGAGAGATGCGGCTCTTGATATAGCTCAGAGGCACAAGAACCTCCTTTGCCTCTGAGATATCCAGAGCCGACCCATTCCTGGCCAGCTCGTCAGCCATCTCATTGCCATGAATTCTGCTGTGCCCCGGCACCCAGATCAATGCAACGACGTGCCTGTCAGCTAAAACCATAACGTTCTCCCTGCACCGTTTTATTATGCTGGAGGTGATGCTTACAGAGCCAATTGCTTTGATCGCTGCCTGACTATCTGAGAAAATAGCAATGCTGGTTCTCGCTAGCTTCGAGGCTTAAATTATTTTGCAAGCCTCATTTATGGCAAAGACCTCTGCCTGAAAAACACTGGTCGAATTAGGTAATCGAATAGACTCTTCAATTTGGAGGTCGGTTGAAAAAATTCCCGCCCCTGCCCCACAATCCATTTTTGACCCGCCCGTAAAAATGGATACTTCGAAGCGTTCAGTATAAATAGGATCCTTCCACTCCTTTCTTGATGGAAAAATCGTGCCGTAGTTTTTCTTGAAGAGAGCGAAGGACAAATGTAGTCAGTTTTTTCGCGAAGGCTTGGGTCGTTGAAAGAATACAGGATACGTCCATGCCCGTACGTACGTTCTTTCCACAATCCAAGTTCCCTCAACCTGAGCGCACTCTGTGAAGCACTTTCCTTGATAAAGAGATTAATCGGTGGCAGATGGCAGATGACATTCAATGCTTCCGTTGGACATGATCTGATCGCCCCAGTAATCGCAATGCAGGCTGACCTTTGTACCCTGCCTAACATTGTGCCTATGTAGTTCATCTCTACGGCTTTCCACCAAACCAGCGAACCGTATGCAATAATTTGGCGAATCACCGCCTTGTACATCCATAGCATAAGAT